TTTGGATTTTTCTGATTATCAATTCACTTTTGTTACTGGTAATCGGTGTATTCAGATTTTTTTGTTTTTTCCTGGGTCAGCAATGGAAGGTTGTACTTTTCTAGGAATTGTCCATTTCTTCTAGATTGTCCAATTATTGGCATATAATTTTTCATAGAATTCTCTAATAATAACTTGTATTTCTGTGGTGTCAGTTGTGACTATTCCTTTTTAGTTTCTGATTTTGTTTATTTGTCCTCTCTCTTTTTTTCCTTGATAAGCCTAGCTAGAGGTTTGTCTATCTTGTTTTACTTCTCAAGGAACCAGCTCTTGGTTTCATTGATTTTTTTCTATTGTTTTATCCTTCTCTATTTTATTTGTTTCTGCTCCGAACTTTATTATGTCCGTCCATCTACTAATTTTGGGCTGCATTTGTTCCTCTTTTTCTTATTTCTTTAGTTGTGAGTTCAGATGAGGTAGGCCTGTATTGCTTGCTATATACTTACCTCTTAGAACTTCTTTTGCAGCATCCCACAAATTTTGGACTGTTGTATTTTTGTTTTCATTTATTTCCATGTATTGCTTGATTTCTGTTTTAATTTGTTCATTGTTCTATTGATTATTTAGAAGCATGTTGTTTTGCCTCCTAGTGTTTGTGGGTTTTTTTTGTTTCCATTGTGTAATTTATTGCTAGTTTCATCCCACTCTGGTCTGAGAGGCTCCTTGATACGATTTCAATACTTTTGAATTTATTGTGGCATAGTATGTGATCTATTCTGGAGAATGTTTTGTGTACACTTGAGCTGTGTATCCTGCTGCTTTTGGGTGAAATGTTCTGTAGATACCTGCAAAGTCCATCTAATCTAATATGTTGTTCAGTACCTCTGTTTCCTTATTTATTTTCTGTCTGGTTGCCCTGTCCATTGATGTAAGTGGTATGTTGAAGTCCTCCAATATGAATAAGTAGCAGTCAGTTACGCCCTTTACTTCTGTTAGTATTGGTTTTACATATTTAAGTGGTCCTATGTTTGATGCATAGATGTTTATAATTGATAAATACTCTTGTTCGACTAATCCCTTTATCATTATGTAATGTTATTATTTGTCTCATTACTTTGTTTTGAGGTCTGTTTTGTCTGATAGAAGTACTGCTACTCTCGCTTTTTTCTCCTTATTACTTGCATGAAATATCTTTTTCATTCCTTCATTTTCAGTCTTTGTATGTCTTTGGGTCTGAAATGAGTCTCTAATAGGCAGCATATAGATGGGTCTTGTTTCTTTATCCATTCTGTCACCCTGTGTCTTTTGATTGGTGCTTTCAGTCATTTATATTTAAGGCAATTATTGAAAGGTATGTACTATTGAATTTTATTGTTTTCTGGTTTTTGTAATTCTCTGTTCCTTTCTTCCTCTCTTATACACTTTACTTGTTATTTCATGCTTTTCTTTAGTGTTGTGATTGGATTTTTCTTTTTAATTTTTTTGTGTATCTATTAATAGGCTTCAGGCTTAGGGTAACATAGGTTCATGGATAGTTTCCTAACTATATAACAGTTTATATTAAGTTGATGATTGCTGTATTTCAAACACAATCTAAAAGTATTTCTTTTTTATTCTTCTTTCTCCTCCCCACTTTATGAATTAGATATCATAATCTATATTTCTTGTGTATCCCTTGACTAATTTTGTATATAGTTGGTTTTACTACTTTTGTTTGTTTTGTTTTAATTTCAAACTTCCTTGGTAAGTAATTGGCCTGCTACCCCTACTTTGGGATTATTTTCACTTGTGAAAACTATTTAGGCTTAATAACTCTTCCATCTACAGAAGTCCCTTTAGCATATTCTGTAATGCTTGTTTAGTGGTGGTAATTTCCTTCAGTTTTTGTTTATCTAGGAAATGTTTAATTTCTTCAAATTTGAATGACAATCTTGCTGGGTGTAGAATTCTTGGTTGAAGGTCCTTTTGTTTCAATACATTAAATATTTCATGCCATTCCCTTCTGGCCATAGAGTGTTGCTGAGAAATCTGCTGATAGCCTGATGGGTTTTCCCTTATAGGTGATTTTTTTTATTGCTCTGGTGCTTTCAATACCTTGTTTTTGTCTTTAATCTTTGTCATTTTAATTATTATATGCTGTGATGTTGTCCTCCTGGGATTGCTTTTGTTAGGGGCTCTCTTTGTTTCTAGACCTGGTTTCTATTCTCTTTCTCAGATTGGGTAAGTTTTCAGCAATTGTGTCTTCTAAGAGACTTCCTACCCCTTTGTCTCTATCTTCCTCTTTTGGTACCTCTATTATATGAATATTGTTTCCTCTGGAGTTGTCACCCTGCTTTCTTAGCATCCTCTCATTTCTTCTAGAGATTATTTTTTCTCTCTATTCCTCAGCTTTTTGTTTTTCTGTTCCTTAATTTCCATCTCAGTGATTGTCTCCACTTGCAGCAATCTATTAGTCATCCCCTCCATTATATGTTTCTTTTCAGTTACTGTATTTTTCAGCTCTGAGTGGCTCTTTTTCAACTCTTCTATCTCTTTGTTGAAGTCCTCCCTGAATCATCAATACTTTTCCCCAGATAAGTGAGCATATTTATGACTGTTACGTTGAAGTCTTTATCAAGAAGATTGATGATCTGTGTCATTCATCCCTCTTTCTGGTTTCATATACTGTATTTTTGCTTGGAACATATTTCTTTGCCTCCTCATTTTGTCAGGGTTTTTGTGTTTTCGCCTTTGTCTTAGATAGGTCCACTATGCTTCTTGGTCTAGACAGTAATGGGTGTCCTGTGGTGCCCAGAAGCTCAAGACTCCTTACTCTCCAATGCCTCATTCTCCTTTGCAGAGGAGCCCCAGTTGCTATTGGTGGGCTGTGGGCAGGGCTTCTTTCTGTCTGTCTGCTTGTAGTGGTATATATCAGTCTGCTACAGATGGCAGCTCACTTCTGCTGACCCTTGTGAGCTGAGCATTGTTGTGGGATGGACACCCTCTACCTGCCATGAAGTGATGGCAGCACTACTGGGTTTACATGGTCAGCAGGGTGGGCACTACCCTGGCACAGGCTGCCAGTGAGGAGGAAGGAGTGTTTGGAGATGTTTCTCACAGGTGTCTCCCCAGTTGGGCTGAGAAACTGGGAAGGTTTCCCTCTGCCTGTGCATGGGAGGAAGTTTCCACCTTCCCTTCCTACTCCACCATCTTTTTTTCCCCTCTCAGTTAGACATTGTTTTCATACTTTCTTTTAATCCTATAGACATGGTTTAGTTCTTTAGCTCTGAACATATTTAGAATAGCTAATTTAAGGTCTTTGGCTGGGAAGTCTCAATGACTAGACTTCCTTAGGAATAATTCTATTGATTACCTCCCACACCCTAATCAACTGCCCTGGGTAAGGGCCATAATATCTTATTTCTTGGTGTATGGCTCACGATTTTTTCTTGAAATTTGGCACCCTAAAAATAATGTGACAGCTCTGGAAATCAGATGATCCTCTCACTTCAGGGTTTATTGTTGTTTCTGCCTGTCATAGTTGTTATTGTTTGTTTAATGACTTTTCTGAACTAATTCTGTAAAGTTTATATTCTTTAAGCAGCATGGAAGTGTTTACGTGGTTAGCTAAAAGTTCAGCTAATGTTTTAACAGAAATTTCCTTAATTACCTGGACCAGTATCTCCCAGTCTTTACCAAAAGATTGTAAGTATGTGTACAGGCATGCCTTCAACACTCAGCTAGTTGATAACTCTTCCTTAGCCTTTAATTTTTGCTTGTTCAGAACCTCCAGATCAGCCAGAGGTAAGAGCTAGGGCCTTCTCAGGTTTTTCCAGGGCTTACTGACAATCCTATGCCTGGCTTTCTATATTTCTAGGAATATGTCAGAGCTTTTCAAAGCTCCTATAGACATCTTGCTTCCTAACTTTCTTTTTAAAGTTTCTGGTTAGTCTGTCATTTGCTCCACCTATTAATCATTGTGTCATGGAGCTGCAAAGTTAAAACACTGGCCTGTAATTGACTTGACAAATGCTACTTGCTATTCCACACACCAAGGAGCAGTCTCTTTGTACTGAGTGAACTCTGAGTCAGGTCAGATATAGATAGCCTTTTAAGTGAGGTCTTTCAGAGAGCCACCAGACAGGTCGCATAATGACAACTCTTTGGCAATAAATATTTGAAAGAGCCCCTAGTTCTATTCTGCTCTGTTTAGTGTCTGCAGAGTGGACCAAGAATATGTGCTGTTTCTTTTTTTAAAGATAACAGAGCTAGAGAGTGGGATAAAGAAAAGTTAAGATACCACAAAGCTTGCTGTTCTTACAGAGATCCAGCCATTAAAAAAAAAGCTCTCCAGGTTATCACAAACTTTTTGTTTAATATCCAGTGTTCTGAAAAAGCTGATTTTGAGCACTTTTACCAGTATTTTTATTGCTTTATTGAAAAGCAAATTTTTGGATCTCTTTACTCTGCCATTTTGTTGGTGTCACTGACCTAACTTATCAAAGATGCATTTTAAAAAATTATAAAACTTGCAGGGCAATATGGAACACTAAACTTTGATTAATATGAAGTGTTTTATGCCCCCAAAATAAACAAACCTATTTTCTCATAAATAGATTTGTAGCAAAGCAAAGATCACCCAGTTCTAGGTCTTAATCATTCTTAGAAAACTTAAAAGTTTTTCTTTTATTAAGATTACTGACTGCTCAAGCTGGACTATTTCTCTGTTTTTCTCCCCCAACAACCCTCCATTATTTTCTTTAGTCAGTTGAAGGGAAGGAAAGAGAAAGTCCACTACTGCACAAATTTTTTGAAGAAAATTATAAAAGTTTTAATAGCAAAAACATCTGAATTAAATTCTTATCCAAAATTTCATTTCATATACATGCCAATAATGGAGAGTCACTGATTACTAAAGAGTCAACTTGCCTTGTGTGTGTGTGTGTATGTACATACATACATACATACATACATATATATATATATATATAAAATGCATGTTTTAGTTGATGGGAAAACAAATTGTTTTTCTTTTTGGATAGGTATATACTGTGAAGACACCAACAAAACTAAAAATTCAGCAAAGAGAAAACAACGCAACCATTGAAGAAAGTAATAAAAAAAGAAAAATGGTCTTTGAGTTTGATATTAATTCAGATAGTTCAGAAACTACTGATCTTCTGGTAATATTCTTTGATATAATCAGGATTTATTTGTTTACATTATTTGTCTGCATTATTTCTTGACGTATGTGTATAATATGTGCATATAATATCTATTATTACAATATTGAAATAGAATAGAACTCTTCTTAAACACAGAGCCCTATGCTTTTGCTTCATTTTAGAGAAATTAGGGTTCAAAGAATCTCTACATTTCAGAAAACATGGTATTTTGAATTACTTGCTTTAACATAGTTGACATATGAGATGATTAACCATCTTGTTTTCTAGAAGAGAGTTATAAAGGAGTTTTTACCACATTTCCTCTTCCTTTTTTCTTTAAAGAAAGGTTGGTGAGTATTTTATATTTTGCCACAGCCAAATTTGTTATTTAGGGTTCCTCTTGATTTTTCATACTACCCAAGTTTATTTTATACTACTTATTGGTTGAAATCGATATCAAGGTTGACAACTACAATATTTTTTAATTGTTAAAGAGTTAATGTATTATAGATGGCATGTTTAAGGAGGATATTTCCCCTAGCAGTTGGTATCACTAATTACTCACTACCATTGGTATTCACACATACCAGTGTTTTCCAAAAGCCATAGTATTTTCTAAATGCATAATAATGATTTTTTGAGAATAATTACTTAGGTTCATTTAATTTAAAAACAGATAAATCTCATCATACAAAATGGAGCAATATTCTTAATAACAGAATTTTACTTAAAGCCATTTGTTTCATTATTCCCATTCATAACTATGAGATCCTTCAAACTTTTCCACTGTTTTCATTTGTTCTGAAATATTGAACAGTTGAAATCTTAATCTTAAAACCCTAATTATTGACATTAACTTATAGAATATGTACTCTAGTATCTGTTTATTTTACAGATAGTGACTAACATTTAAGTGATTAAAACTTTGAACCAGGCACTGTTGTAAAGACTTTACATAGATTACTTTGGTTAATAGTCTCATGCTCTAAAAGTATAGGCAGTATTGGTATTCTCATTTATAAACACAAATAGTTTGCCCAAGATCACATAGCTAGTAAGAGGTGGAGCCAAAAATTGAACAGTCTAGCTTCACAGCCTATGTAAGTCATTATACATAGTGACTGCCACTTGAAACTGAAATCCAGATAGATAAAAATGTAATGAAAATTAGTAGAAAGAACATGAGGTCTAGAATTTTACATTTCCAGAATTGGAATCCCTGCTTTTTTTCTAGCAATGTGAATTTAGGCTTGTTTCTTAGCTGATCTGAGATTCAGAATGACTCACGATTTTATTTCATTTTTAAAAGGAACATCATAACTTTGCATGACAATAAATGTACCACAGTATTATAATTTCACAGAATTGGTCAAATTAGTCTAAAAAGACATTTCACAGTGGGTTTTATCAGCTATAATTACCACTTGAAGTTACTAGTTTTTTTTGTAATTTTCGTAGCTGTTGCATTTAAATTTTGTTGAACATTAAAAAAAACTTAAAATGAATTGTTTAGAGTGAGTACAAAGTGTCAGGAATCCATTTCTCCACCTAGATAGCAATTGTGCTAGCAGAAACTGTCTGAAGTAACTATTTTGGAAATCTGGAGATTATTTGAATGCTTTCAATTTCCAAGGGGAAACTTAGCTGGTAGATTATGGTTAATTTTGGTCAAGTTCAGCCATAAGCATGGTAGCAGCTACCTATCACCCAACCCATATGCCTGTGGCAAATAGCCATGCTTATGTCTTGCTGAAGCCAGGGTAAGCAGTAAGGACTTCGGTCTCCAAATATAAAGGTTTGATGTTCTGATTATTGAACGCTGGAGCCACAGAGATTGACTGCCATTATTTCAGTCCTCACCAGCTGAAGTTTATTCCAGAGGATTCAAAAAAACCACACCTGGAGGAGATCAGAGGAAAAAGATGGTGGAGTAGGAAGGCAAGGTGGGAACCTACTCCTACACACACAACAAGAAAGCAAATACAACTAACCCTGAAAATGACCTGAAGACTGCAGAACATAACATCTCCACCTGGTAAAGAAGAGAAGACCATATAAAGAAGGGTAAAGTGGCAGAGCTGTAATCGATTGGGATCCAAGTCCTTCCCCCCATCCAGCCCACAAGCAGGAGGGAGAGGAATGGAGCAGGGAGGGATCCTGCAAACCTGGCCCTGGAGATCTTCTCTGGGAACACAAGTCCACATTGCACTGGGCTTTGGTGATTAATGGGGCTGAACACCAGAAAGGTTTGGAGCACTCTGGGAGGCTGAGACTTCTGTCAGTTGTGGAGGATAGGCATGTTCCATTGGTGTCTTGCCAATGGATTTCATCTGTGGGAAAGTTCACTATGGATTCAATGTGACCAAAGAAATGACAGTAGAATGTTCTTGGGGTTGAAAGGGTTATTATACCCAACTTTACCTCCACAGTGGCAGGTCAGTCACTAGAATCCCATCCAGTCAGAGCGAGTCTGCATGCAGAAAGCCAGTCTCTGCCTCTAGGCCTCTACCCATGCAGCCGTCTCAGTCTCTGTCCTTGGTGCTGCCACCACTCCAGTCTCATCTCTTTTCTCCTGCAGCCTTGCAGCCATGTCTCCCAGAGCACTGGGTGGAGCTCTTTATATAGAGGCAGTAACAATGTATTGTCCACACATGTGTAGTTAGCTAGCCAACCAGGGCCAGGTGAGAATCTTGGCCATAGGAATCATCACTTTATCCACAATTGGTCCCACTGAGAACCAACATGGAGGCAGCAGTTTGAAAGATGTACCAGCAGTGGGAAGTGTGCCAGAGGGATCAGGGATGGAGGTAGCTTTCCATAGGAGAAATGGCAGGTGGACAATGCTTCCCCAGCCCTCCCTCCACACTGGTTGGTAGTTCATGGGAGACTGTCCTGATGCTCCATTCCTCTTGCTGGCAACTTAGCCCTATCGCACTTTCCTGTGCATGTACTTGCCTGGCCTGCTCAGTCCAGAAGTGGTCAGACTTTGCTGCCAGGCAGGTAGAAGGATACTTTCCAAGTATTCCCAGCTGTCTCTTAGCAGAATGGCAGAGGCGCCTGCAGAAGCCAGCTCCAAACACTTGTACCCCTTGATGGTGGCCCAGCCCAACATTGAACTTCCCTGCATACCTGTGATGCCCACCTTGCCAACCCAGGAATGCCACCACTGCTGCAGGTGCAGGGCAGGCCAAGTGTGGCCCAGTTCACAATGATTCCAGCAGCACACAGAGAAACTGCTGCCGCCCATGGCTTAACAATGGGCACAGAGTGGACTGTGCTGACAAAGTCACTCCTGGCAGACAGGCAGGAGAAGCCCCATCCACAGCACACCAACAGCAGTGGGCTCCATTGCAAAGGAGAACTTGACACTGATGAACAAAGTGTCATGAGCTTCTGGGTGCCCCAGGATGCCCTCTTTATAAATCTGTTAATTTCTAGACCAGGAGGCATAGCTGAACTGTCTAATACAAAGGAAAAAACACAGAAACCTTGACAAAATGAAGAGGGAGAGGAATATATTACAAACAAAATTGCAGGATAAGACACCAGAATGAGGGGTAAATGAAACAGATAGACAATCTCCTTGATAAAAGATTTCAAAGTAACAGTCATAAATATGCTCATTGACCTGTGGAAAGAATTGATGATCTCAGTGAGAATTTCAACAAAGATTTGAAAAAGCCACTCAGAGCTGAAGAATACAGTAACTGAAACAAAAATATAATGGAAGGAATGAATAATAGATTGCTATAAGTAAAGGAGACAATGAGATGAAAATTAGAGAACAGTAAAACACAAAGTTGAGGAACAGAGAGAAAGGAATTCCTAAGAATTAGAGGATGCTAAGAGAACAGTGTAGCAATTCCAAATGAAACAATATTCACATAATAGAGATACCAGGAGAAGAGAGAGACAAAAGGGTAGAAAGTCTTTTTGAAGAAATAATTGCTGAAAACTTACCAAAGTTTTCAGGGAAAGGAAATAGACACATAGGTCCTGGAAGCACAGAGAGCACCTAACAAAAGGAACCCCAGCAAGACAACACCAAGACATACAGTAATTAAAATGACAAAGACTAAAACATAATGAGAGAGTTTTGAAGGCAGCAACAGAGAGGTGAACAGTTACCTATAAGGGAAACCTCATAAAGCTATTAGCAGATTTCTCAGCAGAAAATCCAAGCCAGAAGGTGGTGGCATGAAATATTTAATGTATTGAAAGTGAAGAAAGTTCAACAAACAATCCTCTAACCAGCAAGGTTATCATTCAGAATTGGAGAGATGAAAAGTTTTCCTGAAAAATGAAAGTTAAAAGAATTCACCACTACTAAACTGGCCTCAAATGGTATGTTAAAGGAGCTTCTATAGATGGAAATTTTCTTAACCATGAATATTTTGTCAGTGAAAATAAACCCACAATAAATGTAGGAGACCAAATACTTACCAAGCAAGAGTGAAGTTAAAAAAAATAGTAAAGACAGCTATGCACAAAATCAGTCAAGGGATATACAAGCAATGCAGATTATAACATATACATAGAGTGTGGAGGAGGAAGCAAAAACTGCTCAGAGAGAAATGCATCACTGTAAATTTCTACATTAAAAAAGAAAGATTGCACACCAATAAGCTAACTACACATCACAGAACTAGGAAAAGAAGAGCAAACTAAATCAAAAGCTAGCAGTAGGAAGGAAAAATAAAGATTACAGTGGAGTTAAATTAGAAAATAGAAAGCAATATAGAGAAAATAATGAGAACAAAATTTGCATCTTTGAAAAGGTCAACAAAATTGACAAACTTTAGCTAGACTGACAAAAAGATACAAATAACTAAAAATGAAAGAGCATTGTCAATAGATGAATGGATGAAGAAGATGAGGTACATATACACAATGGAATGTTATTCATCCATAAAAAGAAAAGAAGTCCTGCCATTTGCAACAGCATGGATGGATCTAGAGGGTATTATGCTCAGTGAAATAAACCAGGCAGAGAAAGACAAATACCCTATGACTTCATT